TTAAAAAGCAGAGACATTACTTTGCCAACAAAGGTCCATCTGGTCAAGGCTATGGTTTTTCCAGTGGTCATGTATGGATGTGAGAGTTGGACTGTGAAGAAAGCTGAGCGCCGAAAAATTGATGCTTTTGAACTATGGTGTTGGAGAAGACTCTTGAGAGTCCCTTGGACTGCAAGGAGATCCAACCAGTCCATCCTAAAGGAGATCAGTCCTTTGTGTTCACTGGAAGGACTGATGCTGAAGCTGAAACTCCAGTACTTTGGCCACCCCATGCGACTCATTGGAAAAGACCCTGATGCTGGGAGGGATTGGGGGCAGGAGAAGAAGGGGGCGACAGAGGATGAGATGGCTACATGGCATCACTGACTCGATGGGCATGAGTTTGATTAGACTCCGGGAGTTGGTGATGGACAGGGAAGCCTGGTGTGCTGCAATCCATGGGGTCGCAAAGAGTCGGACATGACTGACCGACTGAACTGAACTGAGGAATGAGCAGAAAAGCAGGGCAGAAGGGTACAATGGAGCATGTTTTTGTTATCAAAATGTACAGTATGTTGTATATCAGTTACGCCTTAATAAAGTGTGGTGAAGATGAAGAGAAAGAGGAACACTTGCATACCAATGTGAGTATGAAATGGTGCAACAACCTTGTAAACAACTGGAGATCATCTTGTAAGAGTAAACGCGCATATATGCCCTATAGCCCAGCGACTGCATTCTGAAGAGCAGTATTTCTCAAGGTAGACATCACAGAAATTTTGGGTTGAATAGTTTTTTGTGTACATTGTGCAGGACTGTCTAATACTTTTGCATGACATTTCACTTTGTCCCTGCACTTTAAATGCCAATAGTGTCCCCTTGCAGCAAAAGATACTAGTATTAACCAAGCACACCATCTACTTTTCCCAGAATGTTGGCAATTCAGGTGGACTCATGCAACTAGTTCTGGTCAGCCAGGGGCAGAAGCTCCACGTGTCACTTCTACAACAAGAGCCAGTGAATGACTTTACAGTTACCTCTTCCCCTGCCTAAGCAGCAAAGGAAGCCACATGTTACAATATTGTAAGAGACAGGGCCTCCATCAGGCTGAGTCCCCACATAATTATTTGAAAAAAGAAATCTCCACCAACCCACACTGGACAAATAGTGTGAGTGATAAATAACTAACAGGCATTGAGATCTGGGCATTTTGTTACCACAGCATAACTAAGCTTATGTCAACCGACTATCCATTCATTTGACAATCAAAACACTTGTATGTATTATCAAATGTCCCTTCAGGCACAGCAACAAGAGTTAAGAACTGCTGCTCTAGAAAAACTACTGGTATACCAGGAGGCCTATCAAAATACGACTATCCCAGGAGAATTTTTCATAACAAACTAGAAGCAACCCAAATGTCCATCAACAAGAAAATAACGAGAAATTCTGGAAACCTGGAACACTTACAGAGTGTAACATTATAGAGAAATAAAAACGATATACAGCAAGCAACATGGACTTTTACTATGAGGCATAATATTTAGTGAAAAATTCAATCACAGGAAACTACAAACAGGATGATCGCAATTTTAAAGGTCAAAATAAAGTCATATGATAAAATTTATTTCAAAAAAGTAAGAAAATAATGAATACCTATCCTAGGACAGTGGATTTCTCTAGGTTAGGAGGAGGTAATGTGACAGGTAAAAAGAGAACTCCAGCAGAAACACTAGTCTTGATACTGCTGTGATTTCTAAACTGAGTAATAAGTTACAGTTACTCAACTTATTATGCTTCATGGCTTGACAAATACTACCTCAAGGATTAGTTTAAATAAGTTATCTAAATTTTATGTTAAATTTTAAAGGAGAAATTAAATACAATAACTGCACAATGAACAAAAACTTATTAAATGTTTTTCAACAATGAAGCTTTAATAAAACTTTATTTAGCTTCATATTTGAATTCTGTATTTGCAAATGTAAACTAATGATCATGCTCAAGTGCTGTGTCAAGTTTCACTATTACAGCAATCACAGCTGGATTATGACCCAGCTATCTCACACCCCATTTCTAGCTCTTATATAAATTAAAACAAAACAAAACAAAAATTCCTTCCATTCTCTCTCAGTTTTTTAACAACAGAACAGAATGAGAAAAGGAACACAGATTAAAGAAAACTCAGACTGCAGAGAGTGAATTATTTTTTCCTAACTTGGTTAACAGGTTTTAAAGGCTCAATTTTTCAACATACTCCCCTTATTTTTAAAGGCATAGCACAAAACAGGTTTTACAAGGTTTGTCTGTGAGAAAAAGAAGCTATTAACTTTCAATTCACTCAATGGTAGAAGTGCATCCAATAACAGGCCTGGGAAACAGAACAAGTCTCTAGCTCTGAATGAAAACGCTAATTACAACTGGATCCTCTGACTGTACCTGAATGCCACGGCTTTGCTGAGGCTGCTTCTCAGAGCACAGTCATCTTTCCAACCATCTTCTTCAGACGTCAAGAGATCTTTCGCTCTTCCAGTTCTACCATAACCGCTACCTCCCTCGTCACAAGTCCCGATTCGCCCCACAGAACGGAATCTCCCCTTCCATTATCTCCCACACTACGTTCTTGCACCTCTGCAGAGCACATATTGTGGTGTCCATCCTTCACTTCCAGATAGTAACTATAAGCTATTCAAAGGCAGAGATGGTGAATTACCCATCTTGGTATTTCTGGGACACCAAGCTTCCCTATAGAGGGTATTTAATAAATAGTTATATTAAGTTTGCCTCTGCAAATGCCCAACGTCATAGAGAAGTAAGAAACACACTGTTGACCTATCAGGGCATCAAATGTTAAACATGCATTTTAAATGATGCATTACGGAAATAATGATGATTAAGTTTTCAGTAATTCATCCATCCAAAGAACAAGATCTTCAGTAGTAAACTGCCACTAATTCAATGCTCAGACAGAAGTTAAGCCAAGGTTTCAAAATGGACAAATGAAACAGACCTAAACATACCTCACAGACTAGCCAAATCTATTTTTTAACAATTAAGTATTAGAATTAAGACTAGAATAGATAATAGTAGAGGGGGGAAAACTTACATGGGCTGTTTATGCATAAAGAAAGAACAACTTAAACTTATGCATGAACTTGTTACCTAACAGTTGAACAAAAAAATCATTTACTACTGTACACATCTGGTCTTTTCTTTCCTTCTTGATTTCTAATCCCTGGAATCAATAAATCAAACATTTGCCAATTAAAAAAAAATCACTTTAACAAAGTAAATTACTTTGTATTTAGTTTATAGTCCTCTCTTTTTAATTTCCATGCCATGCCCTGCCTCCCTTCCCATGCCTGTTCAGGGGGAAAATGGTAATGAAAAAAAAAATTTAATGCTTTTTAAAAAATTATTTACTTTTTTTTTTTTTCCGGCTGTGCCAGGTCTTCACTGCTGCGTGTGGAGCGTGGGGGCCACTCCTCACTGCAGCGTCCAGGCTTCCTGTCACCTGGCGCCTCTCGTGGGGACAGGCTCTGAGCTCGCAGGCTTCAGCAGCTGTGACTCTAGAGCACAGGCTCACACGGGCCCAGCTGCTCTGTGGCACGACGGATCGTCCAGGACCAGGGATTGAACCCGTGTCTCTTGCATTGGCAGCCAGATTCCTCACCAGTCAGTCACCACAGGAGCCCAAGAAAACAATTCTTAATATGGTCCTGATTTCCAAAAACCTGTTCTTTCATCCAAATTTGCCTTTCCCTTTATTAACAGGTTGTCATATCATTTAAAAATCAGGAAATACTGACATATAATTATGGTAATGATACCCTTAACAATGCCTGGGTTTACAAATAAATCTGGCAAAGACAAGAACAGAACATCTTCTGGCGCAACCTCTTTCTATTTTATAAATGATAGAAATAAAGTAGCTAACATGTCCAAAGGAAAGCAGTCAGTATATTGGAAGTATCTATCAGCTGCATCATGGGTTTTCTCGAACTGAGACGCATTTCAGGTTCAAAAATCATGACTAGCTATACTGATAAAACTAAACATGCTAATCCAACAGGTCACAAAACACAAGCACAGAGGTAAGGCAAAGCAGAATCAAAGATTCCTGCTGAAAAGTCTAACCTTCGATAAGCACGCCTGAATGATCCTAAAGTCAAGGGACCTGGGGATCACTACACTACACCTCAAAATATGTTATCACAATATCAAAAGATATCTTCTCATAAATAATTGATCACCGATAGTCTGAAATAGAACAGTGAAATTCCAGTTGCTCTATTTTCAGTCTCATAACTATGATGCATGTGAAAGTAAGTGAAACAGTGTTAGTCACCCAGCATGTCCAACTCTGTGACCCCATGAACTGTAGCCCACCAGGCTCCTCTGTCCATGGAATTCTCCAGGCAAGAATACTGGAGAGGGTAGTCATTCCCTTCTTCAGGGGATCTTCCTGCCCCAGGGATTAAACCTGGGTCTCCCACAATGCCGGCAGATCCTTTACGGTCTGAGCCACCAGGGAAACCCCAAGATACATACACTAATGAAGCAAACATCACCAAGGCCTCATGTGAGCCAACGGCAATGATACATTCCAAAACTCCACCAACCCAACATGCCCACTGGCAGAGGCACGACAGGAATGATAAGTCAAAAACCACCTGCCCCTTACTACAGCAATGGTTCAGAGCAAAGCTCCTAGGAGGCTGGAAAATCTGCCGGTGTCTGGTTTGTTTTCCACTTACTTTCCCACCGATGAGCGGCAGCACGTGCATCTTTCCGGCCACGCTGTCTTTCACGGATGACACGATGAGGCAGGTCCCGCACAGGGTGACTTGGCGTCTGGCCCACCGGCTCACTGGCAAGTGCAGTTTGCCCTTCCGGACACTGTACGTTCCTGAGAGCTGAACCCGCTCAGAGCTGCCGGTGCTGTGAGGTTTGCCTACAAACACAGGCAAACTGTTCAGTCTTAAAGAAATGGCTGTTCTGCTCCTCATCAGCATATCAGCATAAATTACGTGAACAACAGAAAAGAATTATACTAAAACCATCTAAATGATAATTGAGGATCTAATTTACAATTAAGAGAATCTGAAACCAGCAGTAATACAACCATGATAATAACTACTGTATCTACCTCCATGTAGGCTTTTTACTATAAGTGAAGAACATTTTCCTTAAAACCCCAGGGAAAAAGTCATTTTAACTCGTCTGCTGTAAACCCAAGTTCTAGTTTCTGCTCTTTCCTTCACAATTTCACTTTACATTTAAGAAATGACTTCAAGATTTTCATGAATGAGAGAGTTAATTTAAGTACACTAAGAAGAAAATATTATATAGACTAATATAGAAAGATAACATTAAAGAGCTGGCATTTAATGAAACTAATCAGTTTTATGCGATTACCCAGATATTCTTTCTCCCACAGATATTCAGTGTACATTGATTATAAAGGAGATTAAAAATGAATGACTTTTCTAGTAAGAAAATACTACTCTATAAACATAGCTAAGTCCTCACAGATAATTAACGGCAGTCTAAGAAAGATGGTGTGCTACAGTGCCTGTAAATCAGGGAGGGAGGCGGACAGAGCAGCACTGAGAGGCAGACAGAACTGAGACAGACCTGAGGAATCTCATTTCCCAGATGGAATAAACTTGGAAGAATGACCTTCAGACAAGTCCCATCAACTGAATGGGAGAATTACTGGACAACTAAGTGACGGAGGTGTATAAACGAGAACGAAAATATTTCCCAGTACTAGACACCGACTATTTATCACAGAGAGCGGAAGGCCACGCCCACAAACTGATGAGGTGCACGCATCCCTGAGCAGGTCCTGAGCCAGAAGTGTCTTATTTATTTGGAGGTTTGCTGTAGTTGCCAAGGGCTAGCAGAAGAAACAAATTCAAGAGAAGCTGTATTCTTATCAATATTAAAAACTAAAGTAAATACCAAGTGTTTTGGTAGATGTCAAATATCTACTGGAGAAGAAAAAAGGAAGAGCAGAAATACCAAATATAGGCCTCAAGAAAATCCACCAACTGTCTGAGCTCCTCCCAATACATACCTGGAGTAACAGGCAACTTTGCCTTCGAGTATAGAATGAGCAGGGCAAAGGCTAGTAAGAATTTTGCCAAGAGAAAGCACTGGTTATAGCAAACACCCTCTTCCAATAACACAGGAGAAGACTCTACACATGGACATCACCAAATGGTCAATACCAAAATCAGACTGATGATATTCTTTGCAGCCAAAGATAGAGAAGCTCTATACAGTCAGCAAAAACAAGACCGGGAGCTGACTGTGGCTCAGATCATGAACTCCTTATTGCCAAATTCAAACTTAAATTGAAGAAAGTAGGGAAAACCACTAGACCATTCAGGTATGACCTAAATCAAATCCCTTATGATTCCACAGTGGAAGTGAGAAATAGATTCAAGGCATTAGATCAGATAGACAGAGTGCCTGATGAACTATGGGCGGAGGTTCCTGACATTGTACAGGGTTAGGGTTAGAGGGGATCAAGACCATCCCCAAGAAAAAGAAATGCAAAAAGGCAAAATGGTTGTCTGAAGAGGCCTTACAAATAGCTGTGAAAAGAAGCAAAGGAGAAAAGGAAAGATATACCCATTTGAATGCAGAGTTCCAAAGTATAGCCAGGAGAGGTAAGAAAGCCTTCCTCAGCGATCAATGCAAAGAAATAGAGGAAAACAATAGAATGGGAAAGACTAGAGATCTCTTTAAGAAAATTAGAGATACCAAGGGAACATTTCAT